CCCCAAAACCCCAAAACCCCAAAACCCCACTTAATACAAAAGGAATTGAGATTTGTGTAAAATAATCAATTCTGAAGGAAAATGGAACAGATTGTGCTAGGAGGTGGAGAATTTCAGCAAGCTCACCAGCTGCTCCCTTATTTGGTAAGTTTGTGAGATTTTGAATTTTGTGCTAAACTTTTGCTTTAGATAAAAACTTGGAGGATTGAGATCTCGATTTATTCAAAGCTTAAGATTTTGATACTTCCTAGTAAGGTGCCTGAGCATTATTATGAAGCCATTGAGAAATGCCTTGTAGGCTTTTCATGTGAAAGACTAATGCATGAAAAAGGTGAAGACGCAGACTATACAGTATCTTGGATCCTACCAGTGCAGAACTATGACAAAGTTTACAGTGTCCTGAACCAATTCGGCCAAGGCTATAACATTCCGGTAATTCCTATCCCGTCAAAGATTCTCCACTGCATCACAGAATCTGATGACGATATTGAGATCATTGAGAATGAAGAGGTGAAAGAGATGACTCAGTTCAACTATAATCAACTTACACTGGTGAAGCCAAATGATAGTGTAGAGAAATATTTAGAAGAAAACAATGTGCTTTTTCCTCTTTGGGGAAACCAGATTACTGCAATCAGAGAGGGAATCAAGAATCAAGGAAGAGTATTCCTCGCTGATGATAAGGTAAGTCATTAATTATCCAACATCATAGGGCCTTGGAAAATCAAGAGAAGCTATCCTAATAGCTATGAGATTTAAACTAGATCTTCCTCTATTAGTAATTTGTGACGACAAACTCAAAACTATGTGGAAGAAGGAGTTTCATAAGTGGTACCCTAAACTCAGAGATGAGGATGTTCGAATCCTTGAGAGCCATAAGAGAAAAATGCTTGAGGGCCAAACCTACATCTTCATTGCATCTTATGAGATAGCTTCAAAGATCTTCAACAACTTTAAGCCGGATGCTGATTGAGATGCGGACATATCCGAATCCAGAGTCAAGAATATAAGGTCTGTGATTTTGGATGATATTCACATATTCTCAAATCTAAAGTGAAAGACCTTGAAGCCAATCGTAAAGCACCTAAAAACCTGCAACAGAATTATCTTCTGTAGTGCTGTTCCCAACATAAAGCGTCCTGATGACCTATACAACTTCTTGAAGATCTTGAGGCCAGATATTTTTGACAATAAGGATCTGTACAGCTGTAGGTATTGAAAAGGAGAGTTTAGGAACAAGCACTCACTAAGCCTCAAAAATGACGGATTCAGTAACGTAAAAGAACTTGAAATTATTCTTTATGAGAAGTTTATGGTCAGAAGTGTCAGGAAAAACGAAATACAGCCACAACAGAGATGTCTCGTAGAAATTGACGCTAATGTTGATATAGTCAAGATCGCTGACAGCTTCCTTCACAAGTTGGAAGTCCAGAAAGAATACACTAAGAGGAAACATTGATATGTAAGTCAACCGCTTTACTTTGTTTAGAATAACAAGGATTTTACAGTCCTGAAAAATAGCAACTTGAAATTCCGGTTAGAGATGAAGAAGAATACTTTAATGGCCAAACTTCAAGGAATCTTTGTTTTCGTTAGAGACTGCATGAGAGAGGCATACCAAAATCTCAAAAATAGCAACAGCAAGAATATTGCCGTGTTCTGTAATAGTAAAGAGGTCAGAGATCATCTTAAGACAGAAATGACTGAGGAAGGATACACAGTATGAGATACAACACAAGGTTCTTTTGGGGAGGAAGATGCCAGAACTATCAAAAATTCTCGTCATCCTGTCTTGATTTTGATATATCTAAACAATGTCAGGACAAATTACAACTTAAAGACTGTTGGTTATGCTATCTTCCCTGAGCTGATAGAAAATCCAAGCAAGCTAATCCTGGCAGAAAAGTTGGTGTTTACAGGCGATATTTCACAGAAAAAGATAGCATATCTGATAGCCAAAGGGTCCAAGTCTGATCAATTTTTGTTGAAAGAATTGAAGGAGAAACAATGGATGAATAGCCTCTACTTCCACTCATTATCAGATTGGAAGAGCTACCCAAAGCACTCTTCATTTGATTTTAACGATACAGAAATGGTACCAGAGATCCAGACCATGATTCAGCAGAATGACCCTGGTGTATATAGTTCTTTGAAAGGAACTGAGTCTAATCCGGTAGATATTGATGACTTATCAGGAATGACTGAGACTGATCAAAACCAGATCGAGAAAGGTATGAATGATCTCGTCCTTATTGAATCAAATGATCAGTCCTTTTCCTCTCCTTCACAAGGGAGCGAGATTGTGTTAAATATTTCTAAAAGAAGCTAATTTTGAAGAAGATTTTATAACTTTATGAATTCATTTGGTCAATAATAAAATGATAAAGATATGTTATAAATTCCAGTTTAGAAACACCTTACACTTCTTATACAAAAATGAGTCTTGAAATGCTTTAGGCATTTTTAGAAGCCTGGATTTATTATGCAGCATTATCTCTCTTAATATAGTTAATGTGTTGCTTCTGTGCAAAGCTGGTAGGTTAAACTGGCAACTAAAAATTAGTTTCTGAGAATTTTTCTGTGATCTAATAAAAATATCCCTTAAAGATAATCAACATCTAGCCTAGGTACTTTTGGATTTTAAAAGGCTCCCGTCTTTACATCACTCCTCTTGTCCTTTGGATAAAAGACTTTTCATTTTGTGATGGTTTATATTAGATATGAGCAAGATCAATTCTCAAAAGTACTAGAAAGTTTCTAAAATGATGTTAAACAAAGGCGTAATTTAGAAGCTAAGATTACATCTCTCTATGTACCAGTTACTTTATGGTGAAAACAAACATTCAAGGGTAGGATGAAAGCATGTTAATAGTATTTGCTTCTTTTCAATTTTCTTGTAGACACACTGGATTATTCCCCACTTGGATATCTCTAATGACACTTTTCAGTCAGTTAAACTTCCAAAATTATTTGATTTTTTATTTTCAATTTTTTACATAAAAAATGGGGTTTTGGGGTTTTGGGGTTTTGGGG